TAGAAGTTTGTTATCAGAAATCACTGTCTAAGGCAAATGCCACTTCTGTACCGTCCCTCAAACACTTACAAAGTTGAGCCCCAGTCAGAGCAGAGATGCCTGCCTGTTGACCAGACTCTCAGGCCTCTCTCATCCCTCCCTCAGTGACACCATCCATCCTTCAGGGACCCCTGGACCCAGCCGGAACCGGTCTCCGACAGAATTACAATGGCAGAGAAACAGGATTGGAGCTCTGGATCATTCTGTGCCTGAAGCTATCTATGGACTCCAGTTTGTGGAGAAGTGGGGGGAGGAGTGTTTCCTCAGAGACTCCACACCATCCATCGTCCCTCCACCCCACCCCCCCCACACACAGAGCTAGAGCTTTTCCAGTTAAGGGGGGGGGGGCTGGAGGGCAGCAGGTGCCATGATGTCCCCACAGCCCGGGATGTGGTAATGGACCAGCAATCCCTGCACCTGAGGGCTCAGGTAGGGCCCTTGGCCCTGGAGCTTCCCACCCCTCCCCCACCCCTGCCCTCCTCTCCCAGGGGTCTGTGCTGCTGTGCCTCCCCCAGCCACCTCCTGTAGCCCTGCTCTCCCCCAGCCATTTCAGCCAACGGAGCTCGGCCACACTCGGCAGATTTAGACACAGGTCCGTCAGGGTAGACGCGGACACCTCCTCCCCGCTCTGCCTTCTGGGGCTTGGTGATCCCTGAGCACGGGCACCGCTGACGCCTGGGTCCCCAGCCCCTCACCAGCCTTGTGGCCACCACACGGAGCCGGGCTTTTCCCTCAGAGCCAGGTGCAGCCCAGCCATCCCTCGCCTGGTCCACAGGGAGAGACTGCCCATGGGAAGGATGTGAGCCCCTGCCAGGGATCTAGTCCCAACCCCCCAGGGTCTGACCCCTCATCTGTGCCATGAAGGTCACTGGGCCTCATCTGCAATGGAAATACAGGCTGGGCTGTTAACATCCAGTGTCAGATAAATAAGTCATTGTCTAGTGTAAGTGTGTCCAAAATATGGATATGCTCACATCCAACTGGGCATCCCATCTTTTGTCTGACAGCCTTCACCCACTTCCTTTGTGGCTCAGAGGAGGAAACTGGGTGGGGAGAACAAGGGGCCTGACCTCAGTCACCTGGTCTCCTGGGGCCCTGGTGGGACTAGAACCTTCTCCCACTTCCTTTGGGTCTTTCACCTCCAGCTGCCGAGACAGGGTCCCCTCAGCACCTCCCAGCCCTCTGTCCCCCTTCAGTGTCTGCTCTGACTACTCCATCCCCTCCCACCTGCCTGGGAACCCCATCCTGGGCTAGTGCCCAGCCTCAGCCTGGCCTTTTTCTCTGAAATAGTCTACTTTCTTTAGCCCATTCAAAGCCCTGCTCTCCACTCACTTCTGTGAAGGAAGGAGGGTGGAGTCCAGGGCAGGAGACCTCTCACCAGCTGGGGGCACCTTGAGCTACATACTCCATCTCCTGGAGCCTCGGTTCCCTTATCTGTGAAATGGGTGTAGTGTCAACTGTTGATGGGGCTCCATTGGGGCATGTGTGTGTGCATGAGGAAGCTTAAAGCCTACAGTGTGCCAGGCAAAGCAGGCTGGTATCCTGGGTCGGCATTCCCCAACATGGCTTCTGTGAGGGCACCTCCTGTGGGAGTCAGCGGGTGCTGTGGGGGGCATGGGGAGAGGATTCCTGTTCTCCAATAAATGGCAGACTAGGAAGGTGCAACAGGCTACCCCCCTCCCCCCAGGGGACTTCTCACAACTTTAACAAGATCGTGTGTGTCGCCCTATTATTAGAATCAGAAATAAAAGAAGGGACACTTTCACTGAACTTACCAAGAGGATACTGTTTATAGTATGAACAATTGTATGTTACTAGATTGGACAACTTATACTAAAATGGACACATCTTCATAAACTACTGAAGCAAATTGAAAAGAATGGAAACTCTGAATAGTCCTATAATAAATTAGCAAAGAGATTGAACTCATAATTCAAAAACTACCCACAAAGAAAATCCCAGGCCAAGTGTCTTCACAGATGAATTCTACGAAACATTAGAAGAACTAATACCCCTCATCAGAAAGTTTTCCAAAAAATAAAAGATGATGCCTGGATCTAAGTCAGAAAAAGACAACAAGAAAAATACATGACAGAACAATGTCTCCTATGAATAAGGGTGCTTTAATCCGCTACAAAATCTTAGCAAACTGAACCCAGTAAGACATAAAAAAATTCTGTACTATGATCAACAAACTAGAACTTATCTGGGATACAAGGTGATTTAACATCAAAGACAATTCCTGTAATTCACCATATCAATACAACAAAAATAAATAAATAACAGAAACCACACCAGTGACACCTGGGAGGCTTAGTTGATTGAGCACCAACTTCAGCTCAGGTCATGATCTCACAGTTCATGGGTTCAAGCCCCATGTTGGGCTCGGCTCAGAGAGCTCGGAGCCTGGAGCCTGCTTCAGTTCTGTGTCTCCCTCTCTCTCTGCCCCTCTCCTGCTCATGCTCTGTCTCTGTCTCTCACTCTCCTCCTCTCTCTCAAAAAAAAATAATTGTTAAACAAACATTTTTAAAGGAATTCAAGCATCTTCAAACAATGGTGCTGGGAAAACTGGACAGCCTCATGGAGAAGAATGAAGGTAGGCCCTTACTTTCCACCGTATACAAAAGTCATGAGAAGTGAATTAAAGACCGACATCTAAGCCCAAAAGTAAAACAAACAAACAAAAACCTAGAAGAAAACATAAGGAAAAAGATGCATGACTTTGGATTTGGCAATGATTTCTTGTATATAACACCAAGAAACGCAACAAGAGCAAAATAAGTAGTATTTTGTCAACAAATATTTTATGCATCAAATGACACAACTGAGTAGGTGAAAAGGCAGTTTATGGAATGAGAGAAAATATTTGCAAATCATTCTCTAATAATGGGCTAACATCTAGGATATACAAAGAACTGTTAAAACTCAACAACAAAACATCAAACCACTCAATTTAAAAATGTGACTTTGAATAGACATTCTCTTTGCAAGACTTGGCAATGGCTAATAAGCATATGAAAAATCCTCAACATCAATAATCTTTAAGGAAATGCAAGTCGACACCACAATGAGATAGCTGTTCAAATAGCTGTTATCAAAAAATAGAAAATTACAAATGCTGGTGAAGAAGTGGAGAAAGCATGCACTGTTGTAAAATTGTAAAACCTCTGTGCAAAGCAGTAGGGTGGTTCCTCAAAAAACTAAAAGTGATATGACCATATGAGCCAGAAATCTCACTTGTGGTGTTTACACAAAAAGAATTGAAAGCAGGATCAGGAAGAGATCTGTGCATTTCCATGTTCAGAGCAGCACTATTCACAATATCTAAGAGGTGAGAGCAAGCAGGCATCCATAGACAGGTGAACGGATAGACAAAATGTGATATAAATATATAGTATATATATATGTGTATATACATATATATATTATCCAACCTTAAAAAGAAAAAAATCATGTCAAATGCCATAACATGGATGAACTTTGAGGACATTAGGATAAGTTAAAAAGGCCAGTCACCAAAAAAGACAAATACTACAGGATTCCATTTATACAAGGTGTCTAGAGTCATCAAATTCATAGAATAAAAGTAGAATGGTGATTTCCAGGCAAAGACAGAGGGAGGGAAAAGGAGAGTTCTGGGTTAATAGTAAGTATGGAGTTTCTTCAGGATTTCTGTATTTTAGGCAGGAGGTGCAGAAAATGTTTATCACCTGTCTGCTAGGATTCTCCATGGTTTAGTTAACTAATAATGCAAATTAGTAATTAATACCAACAGAAGTATTTGTGGAAATGTAGATTGCAGTTATGTCTACATTTATCACTTGGCATTCTGCAGTAATGTTAACACTTCCCCTTTCTCCTCATTTATTCATTTATTATTTATATTTATACAAATTCATGAGTCTAATTTACCTAGTGAGTTATAATGTGCTATTATTATTACCTATTTTGTACTAAAATGGCCCCAATTTCGCCACTGGGTGTCCTTGAAATACTTTTAGGATTGATGCCTCACTGATACACAACTGCTGCTTATGATGACCAGTATTCCTTTGCCCCGCTCCCAGTAACAACGTCTTAAAGATTTTCATGGCCATTCTCATCCTTGGATGCTATAAACCCTGACTCAGCCCCAGAAGGGTGCCTGACTTGGCTCACGCTAATCTGTATCCTACGTCCCTGGAACATACTGATTGATTCAGGATGACACCTGCCCCATTGGGCCGATGAGGACTCAGTGTCTGATGGGGCTTCTAGGAAAGAAGCTTCCATTCTCTTCCAAGGGCAGAGAGGCTACCAAAGAATGCTCTTTCCCTCCTGATGACATACTGTAAAATGTAAAGTTTGACCTGATGTGGCCATGGCTGCTGCCCAGAAGGAAGTCAGCTGAGACCAGTCTCACTGTACAGAGGTGGGAAGACCTGTGAGATAGGCATAGAACCGGGCCTGGAGCTCTGGGGACACCACTCAGTTCTGGATCATTCTTTGCCTGAGTTATCTATGCACTATTTAATGATTTGACCCAATAAATTGCCTTTTCATTTACCCAGAAGGAGCAAAGACTTCTATTGATGGCAACCAAATAATGTAATATATACCCTGCAAAACAGCAAACAAAGGCTCCCTGAAAAGAGAAGCAAAGGTGGGTATCTGTCCGCTATGACGAGGAGCACTCTCACCTTCAACCTGCTGCTCCTCCTCCTGGCCTGAGAGCTTCTGGGGGTACCTCCACCCTGTACCCCAGGCTCTCCAAGGATGTGCATCTCTAGTGACTGTCCCTAAGTATTTCATGAGCATATGTGTAAGGACTGCTGAGGCTCACTTGCTCACCACTAAATCCCTAGCCTCTAGTACAGTGCGGGACAAACAAGAAACATTTATTGAAGGAATGCATGAGCCACCCAAGCACGCCTCCCAGCCCCTCCCCTCAAATCCACCAAAGGAAAAGCAGCTGTGGCCAAAAGCTTGCATGACATTTATTCTTCTGCAGGGGGAGGCACTGAGAAGTTAGGTGAGGGAACTGGAGGGTGGGCTCTGGGTGTGGGAGGGCAGAAGCAGGTGGTGGTTGCTGGCGAATCCGTGCTCCTCCCCAGGGTGGGGTCAGAGGTCCCAGGGGCTCAGCGACCTGCAGTGGAGACAAGAGAGAAGACAAGTGGGCAGGAGTGTGGGGTGTCCACGGGAAATGGGGACTAGAACCTCCTGTCCCTGCAAAACAGCCCTGGACTCACATCCTGGAACCCAGTCAGGGGCCTGTGTGGCTTGTGGGGCTTTAGAGATGAAAAACCACAGACTCTAATCATGGGAAATGGTGGGGACTCACACTGTGGTGGCCCCCAGATCTGATGGCATCAAGTCCCACGGCCTCAGTCAGGGCTACACGAGTCGCCAGAGCCAATGAGGGCCCTTCCCGTCCCATGTGCTGCAGCCCTGGCCTGACCTGCACCACAGCCCGAGCAGCCCTGGAGGGGCAGACGGGAAAGCTCTCCCTGCCAGCCCGGCTCCTGAGCTCAGCTCTCAGGCCCCTAGCATCCCGGGCACAGATGTGGCCTGGCTCCCGTGCCCGGGCACCCGTGTCGTGCTGGGGGATGGGAGTTCAATCAGGGCTCTGATGTCTTTGACGGTCCCTGTCTGAGGTTGCTTGCTGGGTGTCAATGTCCCTACACATAATCATTTCATTCAGTCCTTGGTGGAAACCAGAACTACGCATTCCTATCCCCTTCCCTGGTGAGGACACTCCAGCTCACAGAGGTTAAGCTACTTGTTCAAGGACACAGCTAACCAGAGATGGGGACCTGATGGCACCCCAGTATTGCCTGGAATAAAACGCCAAGCCCTTGGGTGCCTGGCTGGCTTAGTCAGTGGAGCATGTGACTCAGCATCTGGGGGCTGAGTTCAAGCCTAGTTTGATGGAGAGATTATTAAAAATAAAAAAATATATTAGAAGCCTCAACTCTTTTTTTTTTTTAAGTAGGCTTCACATCCAGTGTGGAGTCCAACGCAGAATTTGAACTCATGACCCTGAGATCAAGACCTGAGCTGAGATCAAGAGTCAGATGTTCAACCAACTCTGCCCCCCAGGCACCCAAAGCCCAACCTCTTAGTGAGTATTTCTCAGCCGTTTCCAGCTGCAGCCCACCTGCACATAGTCTCCATGCTTTCTACACCATGAGGCCAGTAACATGTCACCACAAGGAAGCTTAGAGGGACATGATGAGCTGTTTATGAAGCTCCCTACGACAGATGTATTTCTGTGTTTTTAAACCTTGTTGTACATACTTGGGGACAAGATCTGGGCCCTCCAGAAAGGAGTCACTGCCATTACCTCTACACTCACCGACTTGACACTTGCACAGCCTGAATGTCACGCAGATATCCTGGTGGGGTGGAGCATTGAGGATACTCTGGGTGATTTCGTTTACATATTTGGAGATGGTCTCTTTGCAGAGATTTTCCACCAGCGGAAACTGTGAGCACACCAGCTGCGCAACCTTTTCAATGGTCATCTGCAACAGCAACAGCACCATTCCAGATAGAGGAATCAGGTGAGTTCAGTCCAGGACTGCCGTCCCCCTGGACACCCCAGCAGCTCTAGGCCCTGGGAACCTTGACCACAGGCATGCTGGGAGCAGGGCTTAGTGCCAGGTGGCCATGTGGGCAGACGATAGAGAGACAGGGATCAGACCTCATGCCCAGGCCCCATAGCCTGGGGCTTTGTGAGGACATTGGCCCTGTAGTGTCCCAGTTCCCTATACACCGTCATCCCACCCCAACCCCCGCCTTCTGGGTGGAGAACAGTGCCCATGGCCCCTAGACCCACAGGAGAGGCTCTGCCTGCCAAGCTTCCTGGGCCCCAGCCTGATGGGCTCATGCACAGAGTGCATGACAAAGGTTAGGATAAGAAAGAACTTGGAGTCTTGGCACATTCGACTCTGATATATCCTCTGCCACCACCCTGAGAAGGGTAAAGCTGCGTTCCCAGGGCTGAGGGTGGGCTCTGCAGTGCCAGGGAGCTGAGCAGGATCAGGGAACAAAGCAGAGGCAGGGGGAAAGGGGGAGGAGAGAGCAGTGCTTCTGGGTAGTAACACATCCCCTTGTTAAGCACTTGCGCAGGGCCAGGGGGGGAGCTAAGCTCGTCCCACCCCCTCAGCTCCTTTGAAGGATTACTATGCATCCCACTACTCAGGTAAGAAAATTGAGCCTCTGAAAGCATTACGGACTTGGACCAGCCATGCTGTTAGGAAGGGGTAGATCAGGGGCTGGTTAATCCTGACCCAGGCGCCCCCTGGACCCAGCCTCACGAAACCTGGCCATGGACACATCTGGTGGGGCTACAGGGGAAAGAGTCTTACCTTTAATGGGGACAGGTTTCCTTTGACAATAGGATGGAAAACATGCACGCTCTTCCTCCTACTTCCACGCTCCCAGAGCTTCCCAACTACAGGAGAGTCTCTGCAGTCCCTCCCCAGATACAGGAGCGAACCATGGACCCCTGCTGAGAAGGTCCAGCCCAACCAGGGATCCACTCCTCCCCAGGGGCTTGTCTAGAGCCCGTACCATGGCCCTCACCAGCCAGCTGCTGGCTCCTTAAACCATAGGAAATCACCTGAATCCGCTGCCTTCCCACACAATTCTTCACCCAATTAAGTATCAGACGACAGATTTCACATAGGTTTAAAGACACGTTACTCTGTTAGAAAAAGAAAACCCCAAAATGGTGTGTCAGACACTCCAAGAGCACCTGGCAGGAGCCCATGCTGCCTCCCAGGCCAGCGGGAGCCTCTAGGATCTTTCTGTGCTTTAGAGCCCAAAGCAGGCTGGCTGGCCCTGCCCACCCTCGTGCTAGGCTTTGTGGGGCTGAGACCCCCTAGCACCTGCCCCACACCCGCAGCCCCTCACCCAGAGCAGCCCTCTCCCCTCTTCTCTACTCTGGACAGAACCCAGAGGACACTCTGTGGGAAAGCCCTGCCAGACTGAGGTAGACCCCCACCCGGGCACCACCTTGCACAAAACCAACATCTTGAGCCCACAGCCCTGCCTCCCCTCCCCTCAATATGATGGGCAGCCCTGCCTGCTGGTCCCAGGACAGAGAGAATGGGGAGGGGCTGTGGGAGGTGAACAGGGAGCCAGCAGTGAACCTGGGGGATGTCCTGGACCATCATCTGGAAGAACGGGTCATTCAGACAACTGTCAGCCATGTCCAGGTCATGGTCCTCAGGGGTCGGACCAGAGAAGGTCAGACCTGGGGAAGAAACAACATCAGCGTCCCTCCGCAAGGGGAAGGAGACAGAATGGTCAGATCTCCTGGCTGGCGGGGAGCCCCGGAGGTGGCCAGAGCGCAGGACAGGAGCGGGGCTGTGTGAGGGTCCAGGGGTCCTGTCCTCACACCCCACCCTGGAGCTGCTTTGACCCATTCTCTGCAACAGAATGCTCTCAAGTTCTTTCTGGAAACAAGAGGAGAAGATTATATTGTCTCCCC